CACCACACGACCCCTGACTGTTTTGTTTTCGGTAGTATTCAGGGTCCTCTATTCAAGTAAATGGATATAAAATCGAGTATGTACTTACAGCGAAACTAAAATTTAAGATGGTAATCAGTATAGCTAAATTAAATAGCCTTCTTACGTTTATACATATAAGAATGCATTGTTTCGTCAATTAGGTACTGTCGATGTTTTCGGTCATAATTCCAATAGTATCTCACGAGGTTCAGCTAGCTTAGCAGATTTAGGCTACTCCTAAATACATATGTTAAGCTAATAATGCGAAACACTTTCCATAATAAAAAGTGTAATAATGAAAAATAAAATTACAAAATAAGTTCGATATATTAAACAGTCTGCCCAGTACTGTTGGTGAAAGTAACGGTAAGTAACTATTATAACCTTATTTGCGAAACAAAAAACACGAGCTGTTGCCTTCAACTATTGTGGAAGAATTACTTTTATTTAAAAAACATAACATCGGTATAACGTGCTTGATGTTTCTCTAGTTTCCCCTATCGTCTTTTGATCAATGAAAACTCGTTAAGTTACTCAGCAGTGTAACGTTAGAGGAGAGTGACATCTGTGAGAGATTTGCGATGACTCATGTTACTGTTTAAACTGTGTCGAGTTAGTAGCAGTAATTTACCTTTTGTACAAACAAAAACTAATGTTCATTACGATACAAAATAACTGTAAATTAATAGTATACGTGAAATTTCCATGAAAATATTATACTGTTAAATAATACAAGGGGAAACAACACGCCAAACGTACTATTAAGTGTATGTAACACAACCACGCACTTTAACCTCTGAACTTAACATACACAGAGCTGGCTACAGGAAGTAATAAAGTTAAAGCTTCCGTAAAAGGCGGATAGAATACACAAACCTCTGTATATGAAGCTGAATGATAATAATAAGACTTGGAAAGTTACAGCAATAGGTAATATTACAAAGAAAGTAAGTATCAAAAACTAATGTAACTAAATTAATGACGTAATTTCACACTATATACAGAACTATTATACAGCTGGTATTACCTGTGTATGATAACTTGAAACTTGCAGTATAGCTAAATTAAATAGCCTTTTTACGTTTATACATATAAGAATGCATTGTTTCGTCAATTAGGTACTGTCGATGTTTTCGGTCATAATTCCAATAGTATCCACGCATAAATTATTGTGAACAACGTCCAAACGAAGTTAAGCGTAGATACTCTGTAAAACTTTTAAACCCATGATCGTTAATAATTGGATAAATTTTGTTTAAAATGTGCGATGTAAAACCTCTTTCGGGGGAAATGAGCTGTATCTACTAAGTCCACAGTCTTGCAATTGTGAAAAAAATCAATTGTATCTAAGCTATGAGCAGAAAACATTGTAACATAACTTATATTTGGAGTTTTCGTACTTGAAAATGGAAAGTTTATAATTTCAAAGTTGAAAGTATCCGTTTTATTGAAACTTTAAACGTGAATGTTATGTTGATGATTCTGATATCTAAATCCAGGTGAAGTTTACTTGATAGGCAGTTATTAAAATGGCGATTGAATATTATCTAAGAGGGGTTGTAAACAAGAAATGTGCATTAATTGTGTCGAAGAAGTAGCTGTTCGTTCAGTATTTGAAGGACATTTCAAAATATTTATAACTATAAGTATATTTTGTTTTTACAGTGTTGGTTTTGAGCTTGATATGTATGGGGTACGTTCAGTATCATATTTTGTTTACCTGGTTCCATTGGGATCTCGGCGTGCCATGTTTGAAACAACTATTAATTCCCAAGTATAGCCTTCATTAAGACTCCGTTGTTATTACACGTTATAAACAGAGCTGGAAGATTAAAAAAAAAATTGCTAAATTCAAATTATAAAATAAATAAGTTGAATGATGATTCAGATACAATGATACCAAATTTGGGATTAATGTCCCACAATGATCCCAAGATCTTTTACCATGCTTTTCCTGTTCTGGCTCGTTAATTCTGGTGGTTTTCTAATAGACGGGTGTTGGTTTTAGCTTTTGGACTGACTAGTGGTTACACCCTTTACTTATGTATGTCAGCGTGTAATTATTACTTGAAACATATACATTTCGCTTCTATAATTTCTGTGTTTCTGTTGTATGTGTGTGTGTGTGTGTTTCCTTCCTATTTGAATATTAATAATAAAAAAAAAGTTACTACGTCGACCAGCCTTCGTGATTTCTGTCTTTTATGGAATTTCATCAGCGTTTGTAAGAAATAACTTGTGCTTTCTGTTTGTAGCACAGAATTATGTGGGCATACTGTAGGAGATCAACCTCACGTGTAGGCTGTATGCGAGATCCGGGACCTAATTAACAACCGTAATACACTTGTATCTTGACAAATACTAATGACGGACCATCTGGGAGTATTTAACGTCGTTCTAATGCATTCCACCTTCTAAAGTGTTTGTATTTACGGTGTTGAAAAATACATTATTGAGATGTGTGTGTATGTACAGTGTATAAAAAATATATTAATATTTATTATGCTTACAATCGGCCAATGTTAGTTTAACAGTGAGAAGTCTATAAGTCGTGTAATGTTTACATTTCTTGTAACTGTATAAATATTGAACAGGGAATACTCTTCGGTAAGAAATATATTACTTAGTTTCAAACGGTACAGAAACAATATCACTCGCGTAACGACTTTAATTTGCATGTATTTTACTCTGTGATATTATCTATTAATGGTGACGAAATGCAAGTGTGCCTTTGCTGTGTTATTTATTTTCCTTTTTTGTAAATTTCTTCTTCATTGTTTTCTTCACTAAATAAAATTTGGCAGGAAAGGAACATTCATGTTCACCTAACCAGGCTTCAAATGACATAGAGTTTGTATGGATGTCCACCAGGTGGTAACTTGGTAACAGCCGGATGTGTGGGAATTAATTTTTGTCACATAGAGGAAATCAAATGGAGAGAGAGAGTACATTTTAAAACGACGTAACTAAGGCCGAGGTACCTTCTGCTTAATTCAAGGGGGGAATAAACATTTCGCAATGAAAATTGTTTAAACATCAACTCGGCTGTTTGTTTTGTTTTTGTTTTTCTGTAAGGCCTAAGAACTTGTATTTATACCTTTCACTGCTAGTTAGATTTACATATTTTATTGAACAATGTACATACAGAAACCTCAGTACTAATTAATGAGGTTAATTTCACACACGTTACAGTTAATACTTCCTAGGACGTAATTATAAACCGTGATAAATGAATAACAGGTCTAGGAATAATTTTACTCCCTTTAATCTTTCCTTGTGTCAACTGTTGCAACTAATATTGACGAATATTATGTTAATTCATACTGCCTTTGTGAATTTGTTTGTCCGCGAACTCCACCCACAGTTTTGAAGTTAGAGACCAAACTTGGCAGGGGTGGTCCTTATCTATATGGCGTAGGCCTCTTTACGAAGGAGGGCTAAAACGTGCATGATAGGTCACTAAGACGTAATAGGGATCCAGGAGTAGATTTCCAGAGCTGTTGATCCAGAATGTGGTATAGTATTTTTTTTTGGCACCCATTGGGAACTCGGCGTGCCATGTTTGAAGCAGCTATTACTTCCCACATGCTCCAAGTATAGCCATCATTTCCTCTACCGCAAGGCAATAATTGCGGTTAATTAGGTCTTTTCTTTAAAAATATCGTTTATGTATCTTAAATCTCGAAATCTAAGCTTCAGTTATAAAATTGAAAGAAAGTTAGGCTTAAAAGTAAAAGTTTGTGGCATCTAAACGATATAAAACTTCGGTGCTTCTGAAGAAGAAAATAATACTACCCTCAGGGCCACGATCAACAAACCATGAAAATAATTTTACATGTATCTGATTCTGCGCACATTGCTTGTTTGTTCCGTGTGACCTCCCAACATAATTGGTATAAGACTTAAACAGTAACTTGGCGGCAGATTTACTGCGTGCGCTTATTTATTGGCGCATTTTAATAACGTGACTAAATCTGCCGCATAGCTTCATTTCTTATTATATAATCGGCTTTAACGAGTGCAATTTGTATTCGCGAATCAGTTGTGGTGTTCGTTGTTAAAGATTTCAAGATCTTATATTTTCACTAAACAGTTTAATATAAATATTTGTTTCATTCGAGCATAAAGCTGAACTTTTAGCGCTTTTTTATACAACTACAATAACATTAGCACTTCAGTTTTTCACATTTTTGACGATGTTCCTCTTTTTTTTTTATCAACTTGTGGTTTTTACCTCCACGCCCTCTGAATGTTCGCGTTGGTTTTAGCGTACGTCATAGCTAAGAAAGTTTTGTTTTGATCTCGGAGAGACCTAAAACCAACATGAGTTGTATGTATTGACAAGGTAATTTTACAAACCATATAAAACTTGCGCATAATCTTTTCCTATTTGCCACTCGTGTATGAAATGCCGTTTTGTTTTCTAAAGTAAATCCTTTTGCTAAACAATTACATAATAAAAATGATATCTCTTTAAGCATAAAATATTGTTACGTCTCCGTTTGTTAATTGATTTTTCCGTAACTTCGTTCCGACGAAACTTTGACGACACAAGTTCTTTACTTAATAAATACGAATACAACTTTACGATACACTTATTTTCAACAATCGTGCTAAAACAAACGCTATATCAACGAACGTCAATAATACTTCTGACTGCAGTTCAATTACTCACTATCTTCACACACACATTACATTATCTTGTCACGTTGTCACCCTCTTTTATATACCCGGCTACCCTATATCTAGTAAATACTAGAGCATTCATGAAGGAACAAGATAGTTCTAGAAACTAGAGGGCACCACACCAGTCACGTGACCTCGATGACGCAACAATATTGAAAAATGTATTTCGTCAGGTGCTTTAAGTAGTAAACTTTGAAAAAAAATAAATAAATAAAAGCTAAGCCCATGGAACTAAGTGATTTGTAAAATTATATATATATACATAATTTAAATATTGAATATTGTTGTTACAGTCATGGACAGAACCATGTCAACAGACCACCATATGGAACTGGTCCTCCACTGAAGCAGCTCCGATCTTATTCTGTCGACACTCAAAGCAGTTCTCAATCCTCGCGCAACTTACGACAGAGGGCGTTTAGTGGGAATGTTGGGGCAAAGAAAACTTCAATAAGACGAGTTGATGATGAAGCACTGAAGAGAAGTCGTTCCCATAGCAACCAGTGAGTTCTTGTTACTATTTTATATATGGGTTTGAGAACGCTGTTCCACACTTGTCAAACAGATTCTCCAGGGTCGATACGAGACCAATAGCATTACAAAATTTTGTTTTCAAAGGAAAGGTCAATCGTTTAATTTGTAAAGAACAAAATGTTGATCAGTTAAAACCATCTATTGAAAAACTGTGCTAACAACTAATTTTTGAAGGCCCTTTAGGTGAACTCTATTTTTGATCGATTTTTTTTTCTACCTCATTGTTTTCAGTTTATCCTGGCACTGTTTAGCTAGAGATAAAAAAATAATAATAATAGTTGGTGGGCAAGATGTTATAAACAGAAATTTCAGTGAATCAAAAATCTAAAGAAAATTCACAATTTTCAGGTTTATATCTAACATTGTAAAGAAATTAACAATTACACAAAAATTTACCACTTTCTTATTTCTCTTAGATATTGAATATTTTTTACTTTATCATAAATTCTTGCATTTTAAATATACCTTAGAAGGAACAAACAGATTATTGTGTGTTGACATTAAATATTATGAAGTATTATTCACAGTAGTTACATATTTGAATAGATCTGGGCTTAGTTTAATGGTTTAGTAAGGTATGGGCTACTGACTTTCTTTTGATGGATAGTTTGGATAGATCTGGGTTTCCTTTGATTACTTATTTATTTGAATAAATCTGGTGTTGATCTCTTGTTTAATGATTTAATAGATCTCGGCTTCCTTTGATTACCTATTTGTTTGAATAAATCTGGTGTTAATCTCTTGTTTAATGGTTTAATAGATCTGGGCTTCTTTTGATTACCTATTTATTTGAATAAATCTGGTGTTTATCTCATGTTTGATGGTTTAATATATCTGGTCTTTTTTTGATTACCTATTTATTTGAATAAATCTGGTGTTGATCTCATGTTTGATGGTTTAATATATCTGGTCTTTTTTTGATTACCTATTTATTTGAATAAATCTGGTGTTGATCTCTTGTTTAATAGTTTGATAGATTTAGGCTTCTTGGAATTGTGAGATATTCCCCTACTCAGTCTCCTGGTTTGTTTGCTTGGTGGTTATTGTTTATATCCAAACCACTGGCCATTTTGTCTTCCTTTATTTAGTAGTTTGGATACATCTGAGCTGTTGGTCTTCCTTTATTTAATGGTTTGGATAGATCTGGGCTGCTGGTCATCCTTTATTTAGTGGTTTGGATAAATCTGGGCTGCTGGTCATCCTTTATTTAGTGGTTTGGATAGATCTGGGCTGTTGGTCTTCCTTTATTTAGTGGTTTGGAT